GTAGGATCATTATAATTTCCATGGTCTTAATTATTTCCAAGCTGCTTTAGGCTTAACTGAGTCTAGGTCCAACCCTGTGAGAGAACAAACAGGTTCGCTATCTCACAGGCTCTGGATTGACCAGAGAGCACTTCTTTTAAGAATGTATTCAGTTTGCTACAAGTGCAACTTAATCGAGCATGAATATTAGCTTTTTCCCTTTCAACTTGAGTTGATGAAGCATGACTCTTTACTGCCCCCACCTTTAGCCTTTCCTATCTCAGAGTGCTACACTTCTCCCTAATAGTAGCCTATAAAGAGATCTATCATGCTTTTGCAGTCTCTGTTTCAATCAGTATCATCCAATTAGTCAGGATGGCTAAGCCTATCTGCTTGATTACAGCCTTACCTGCCTGTTTCTATCTAAGGTTTCCACCTTGTCATTACATCTGGTACGCCCTCACGTTTTTCATCTGTCATTATTAAGAATATCAGTCCCTCATACAAAAGTAGGCTTGACAGATGGCCTGCAGAAAAGACATTGAAGTGGTTCCAAAAAAAAAGAAAACCCCAAACAAAAAAAACTGCAAGGGAGGAAGAAGCAATGGAAACCCAGGTCATGTCCCATTTTGTACTTGGTGTGTAGTTACAACAGAAAGGATCACAGATGCTGGAGTCTCTTCCCCAGAGAGACATAACAATGCTGGTGTTAAGGACGTCATCGGGTGGCATGAAAAAAAGAAAAGACTTTGCTCATTCACTGACAGGAAGGTTATGAACAGCAAGATTGGGTGTCCTGTTAATATGACCTCATTGTAGATGTCACCATTTAAACAGGACAAAGCTGAAAAGGTAAAGGTAGGTGGCTGCCAGCATGTCATAGGTATGTAGAAAAAAAAATGCCTATAGAAATTACACGAGGGGATTGAAATTCTGGCAGTTACAAAAGAAACCCCCAAAAGACCTTTTATTGTTTTACATTTGCAGATAGGAAATTTAATCCAGGATCTGCTGTTCCTTACTCTGTTGTAATTGGTTTTCTTTGTATCCCATCACAAAGACCAGCCTAAACACCATTCTAATATTTACTGAACTGATCCTTTTCTAGAAGATGAAACACATACACAGTATTTCATAGTGAAGTGAGGGACATTCATGATGTTGTTCTGATAATGGTAGATAAGACAAAATGATTAACACATCCCGGACTTTTATTATAAGTAGGCTTTCGTCATAGAGCAGGCATCAGAACACACTTCTGCTGAGTACAGAGTGAACCCCCCACTCCCCAAAAAACTGAAAAAATGTAACCAAATCATTGTTCTGTGTACACTGCCACATGATGCATAATGTACGTAGTAGCACTGGAATAAATCAACTTTTAATGGATGGCAAATGGGTTTAACATGTTCTCTGTATACTGTTCATTGTTCCTTCATTTTGCAGGTGAACCTTTGTCCTAACAAGGAGAGACACCAAGGTCAACATTAAAGACTATCTTCATCTATGACCGTTATTCTTTCTTTTTCTTCCGCTGGGATTTGAAAATTCCGTTTTGAATATTCTTCCTAATGCTTTACTTCCCGTTTCATTTGCGTACTCCAATCTGAAACTTTCCCATGCCAAGAGGGAAGGAAAATGGCAGAAGCCCAAAGTCAAATGTGAGACTTGAAAGGTGGGTTTGCAAATGTGTTGACAGACGCAAACATCACACGTTTCGTCCTGTGAAACTGAGGCATGGGCCGTCCTAAAACATGATTACAGGAGGAAGTATTGATATAAACAGCACTCCAGAGGACACGCAGCTGCTGGGGCGCTGTTCCAAGGTGAACTGTGAGCTGTGCACAACACACACACTCGTACACAGCCATTAATGTTCAAATAACAAGCTACTATTCATGTCCACATGCACAAACAAGGCTCTGGCTGGTTAATTACAGTAAAATCTGCAGGGACTTGGCAGCAGACCGATATCCCGCAAAAGTGGCAGAGTCAGTCACCCTGTTGTTGTTGCTACACAACCCCAAAGACATGCAACCGTGGAAACACAGGGAACAGCTCCTCAACAATCCAATTAGTACAAAGTAATTAAAATACTGTTTTTATCCTCTAAAGTGATAACAATCATATGTGACATTGAATGCGCTCCCATAGAACTAAATCTCGCTTTACGGTGGAAACCAAAGTAGGAAAGAGAGGCAGAAATTGTGAAAGGTGCACACAAATTATGCCGCATGGCCATCCTTTCCTTCTCTAACAATCTGTCTTAATAAACACATTTAATTCACTCAGCTTATCCTTGTGCTGAAGTGTGAAAAGCAAGAATAGTGGCATTAAATTACCAGCAATCTCCCCTAGAGGGTACTGAAGCTCAGCCAAACAGTGAGGAAACAGGAGATGGAGTCATGTTGCAGAGGACTGAAGATCACCCTTGGAGTTTGGAATTACAGGGGGAAGAAGAATCAGCATATAGGATCCTGAAGAGCATAGTTTGAAAAGATCCTATGGGGAAAACTTGCAGAAGACATGGGGAAGTGTTTTTATTAAGTTATTAAATTTATTACAAGGCTGACTTTTCTCAGGAACGAGCAGCTAGGAGCTGCATTATGCTTAATGCCCTGCATATAGCTTTCAACTAATGTGGTTTGGCATACACTTGGGGAAATCAGAGAGAGTATTGATTTTGGTTTTGGTGTAGTGGTGGAGAGTGGGTGTGAAGGGCCTTTTCATTCCACCAAATGTTTTTTTGAGTGTCACTTATTTCAGCATCCATCATTTCTCTTTCTGTCTTTTTAGCTCTATCTGTATCTCCTCATCTGCTGAGATCCGAACAGAATGAACGGCTGCAAATGAGGCTGCTTGCTGGAAGCTGCCATTGCTTCTCTGCTTCATTTAGCAGTGAAAGAAGGCGGCAGCTCTTTTCAAAACTCTCAAACCATATGCTAGGACTTCAACTGTGAAAGTGTACATGCACTATATATTGCGTATGTGTATGTTCACACTCACACATGCTTGGCTAGCTGGATGTTTTCCACTTGAAAGGATCATTTTCAGCCAAGGCTAAAAACTCAGATTGGTACACATACAGTATTGTTCTTGTTTCTGTGTAGGCCTAGTTTCCCTATCGACTTAACACAGAGTCAGCTAACATGATTCATTGATGCCCCATCTGTAAATTTTTGCTCATGTACATAAGTGGCTCTCAAATTGGGGGGCTAGCTCCATCAGTGGGTAAATACAGTTTTATCCACTGATGGATGGGGTACTGGCCCACAACCGAGATGGGCACAATAAATGTTGTTTATGAAACCATGATGATCGACACTGTTATTTCCAATCTAAGCTGACACACTGACACTACATCACACCTCACAAGGACTCACTCGTCACTCTATTGCCTTTATTTACATCAGTAAATAATCAGCAAAGCCAGTGGTAATGGTGTGTCCGGTAATGACAGGTTATTCATATCAAACAGCTGACTCATTAAACCTTTGCTACCTGCTCTCTTGACAGCAAAGACCAAGCAGGTATTTAGGTTGTCATAGAATTAAGCACTTAGTTTAAAAAAAAATCATAAAGTGGAAGTTGAAAAATATTCAATTTTGTACCATTTGATGATGGTGATGCCATTATGCTTATATTTAGATCAGTAAAATTCTGCCTGAGTGTGAGGCATGTACCTTTTTCAGTTTCCAAACCGAGAGGCACTGTACTAAGCTAGCAGTATTACCTCATATAATAATATATTTAAACATGCTTTTGCATTGTCCTCCATATTATATGCAGTTGAGTAGGTGCCTGTGTTGCAGCAGTGGACAACTATGGTAATCCCAAATGAGGTTTAGCCCAACGCCCAGGGCTACCGGAGGTCCACCAACTCCCTATGCACTTGATAGAGTTGTTCAAATTATAAGATCATTGTACTGTATAGGATATGAGTACTGCTTTGTGTGTGCGTGCGTGTTTTCTGTAGGTGGGGAGGGGTGGTGGACTACAGATGTCCTTGCCCCGAGCTTTCTCTACATGAAAATCTGTTTTGGAACAATCGCTGGCACCGAGTGATGCCACGCTATACAGCAGGAATGATTCCTGGAATCAGCTGTGGAGGGTTAAATGATACATAAAAAGACATGTATCACAATGTCATCGCTTATGGGAAGTGTTCCAGTAACACTTTAGAGACGTCATCATCAAAGCCTGCAGTTTCATCTACAACTAAATGTATTTTATGAATTTAGCTCAGAGGACATGACTAATCTTAAAACGCAGATTGTAGCCATTATTCACAGGGCCACGTCTGAATACACTCAGTGCAACACTGAAAAGGTAACTGGGAAAGATAGCCACATTAAATGGGATAAAGAGACAAACCAAACTCAGAGCAGGAGAAGCATGGGAGCCTGCTGCCCTCTAGTGCCAAATACCCAGCTCCCGGTCTAACACAAAGTCACAGCTGAGATGAGAATGAATAATTCATAAATGATGGGATGATAAAGCAGTATTATACCAATGCAAGATACGAGATGTAATTGATAATATGGGTCTCTTATCAAACACTTTCTCAACTCTAAAAAGAAAAGTGAAATCTCATGGACAAACTCCTGTTGCTGATAGTCTTAAGTGATATGTGTAATGCTTTAAGAACTGCTGACGTGATGAACTTTTGTGTGTACCCAGGAGTCCCTGATCCAGTATTAATTACTAGATTGTGCACTTTTTCCCCCACTCTTTTAACCTATTTTTATCAGCAAAGCGCCAACATCATGCACTCCATGAATGTCAACAGTTTCAGCCACTCTCTCTCCCACAGATTAACCTAGCAGTGCCAGTCAGCACCAGCGCAGGGGCGGTTCAGGTTTAATGTTTAAGCTTTTAGTACCACCTCTTTTGTCCACACACATTAGCCAATCTCCCTGTGTGTGCTAAACCAGGAGTGAGTCACCCGAGAGATTGAAGAGAGTGAACTGTGTGGGCCTGCTGGACAGTTGCGGCTCAAAAATCCTATGAGATAGTGCCATCTCTACGTTACCAGAGAGTTGGGGTCAAGGTAAGCTGTTGGATTTGACATTTGAAAAACAAATGTAGAATCAGGTGTCCCGTTTTTTAAAATTCAGCGATAGTATCACGAAAGTAGCGAAGTACACGGAGCCGCGGCATTGTGTGAGTCACAACTCACACAAGTCCTCTGTAATTAGCAAAGCCCAAGCAGCACTGGAGTCATGTTGGGGTCTTTTTTGGAGTTGCTGTATTCCAGCAGTTTGTGGTGTATGTGTCATGCTGTTTGACATGGTGTGACTAATGGCTTTCCACTAACACAACTGTCTTTTAGAAATCTTGAATCGAGGCTTTCCTTCATTTTCCATTCAATATAGAGATATTGTGTCACCATATATTTGCAACTGGTTGAGGAGGTCTATGCACAAGATACCTCACTGTATAAGAATCTGACATTTGTGTTTATCGGGAAGGTTTTTATTTTTAACTATATCCTGTAAATTTTAATTCAGTAGTAGAAACCCACAAATGATTATATATATATCTATAGATAGATATATACATACACATATACAGTGGGGCAAAAAAGTATTTAGTCAGCCACCGATTGTGCAAGTTCCCCCACTTAAAATGATGACAGAGGTCAGTAATTTGCACCAGAGGTA